GACATCGACCAAGCCCCCCAAATGTGCCAGACAGACACTGTTGAACTGTTTTCATGTATAGCCTCATTGAATCTGCACAGTTACCCTGAAGACAATTATCCATGCCCAACCTCATGAATAAGGAAATGGGGACTCTTTAGAGTCTGAGGGCCCAGCTTGAGGTCACCCAGCTAGGACATTATGGGCCAGTGTTTTGAGGTGGTAAGAGTCATCATTACCCTTATCAAGGCCAGAATGGGATACCTCACTCCCTGCATAGCTTTCTGACCTCCTGAGCAAGCCATACTTTTATTTGTGGGTATGAGAAACCACAAACCCTGTCCCTGGCCCCAGGACACATACACCTCCTGGATGCTCTTACAGATGTCCAGCAGATGTTGGATAACCACAAGTGAAGTGGAGTGGAGTGAGGAGTCCCAGTTAGAGAGCTCAAGAAGGTCTTTCATGTCATTTACTCAATCATTTACTCATTCATTCATTCATTCATTTATTCATTCATCCATTCATTCTGCAAACACAAATTGCGTTCTTATTATGTACTTAACACTGGAGATATAACATGGAGCTTAGAGTCTTGAGTCTCAAAGTCTGGTCTCTGGACCAGCAGCGTCATGTGGGAACTTTTAGAAATGCAAATTCTGAGGCCCCACAGCAGACCTACTGAGTCAGAAGCTCTGGGAGGTCAGGCCCGGCAAGCTCTGTCTTAGCAAGGCCTCCACGTGATTCTGATCCTAAGGTTTGAGAACTACTACACTCAAGGGCATGTAAGATGACGGGTTGTGATAACAACAGGGACAGAGGTACTCGACAGCTCAGGGCTCTGACTGTTGTAAACAGAGCCCAGAATTGCATAGAGATGCCCTTGTCACTTCCTTCATGTCTGGGCATCTGGTCTTTTCTTGCCCCCAGACTATGCAACAAGTGACTCACAGCCTAACTTAGCCTTGGTACCCTGGTCTTGCTAGGAGCCCAAGGACACCCTGTGGGACTATGGTGGGGACAGCTGACAGGAAGAGAGTCAACCGGGCCTCAAAATAGCAAATTCCTTCTTAGGTCATATCTCCCTGTCATTAAGTGAGGGATATTTGTAAGTCAGCCCGAATCTGCAATAATCAATGATTCAATTTGTTGGCATAAAAAACTGGGCATGGGGTTTGAGAAATACTTGGGACAACAGTTCATAAATTTCAGTGTGCAAAAAAATCTTACAGGGAGTTTGTCAAACATTCAGACTGCCAGGCCACACAATCAGGTAAGTCTGTGGCAGATCTCGGGGAGACCCAGAATCATATAAGCCCCGGGTGGATCTCAGGGCAGGTGGTTTGAGGAAGACCCTTGGTTAAATGTAGTCTTGTGAGATATGCTCACAGGGGCCAACTCTCAATTTGAGCTACATGCCCAGACTTCTAACCCGACCACCCCTGGATTCTGGACACCTGGAGACAGGTTTGTGGTTCCATACAGTTTTCTCGGAAGCTGATGAGTAACTATTCTCATCTTATGGGTGATATCAGGGATTAGAAAGGACTTTAGCTTGGCTGGGGAGCGGTTAATGGCCCTTTATGCAGCAGAAAAACAATGAAGGCATTCTCATTTTATGAAAGTCGCTTCGAAATCTAATTAGAATATGAAAGTTGAGATCTTAGTCTATTTTTAAACAGAGCATGAGTTCAGTAGGAATAGTCAATGCTGGAGCTGTGAGTTGCCCGTCAGCCTCTCACTGGGGCAGGCAACGAGCTTTTTTCTGGAAGAGTCCTTGGTAATGGGACAAGTAGATAAAGAAGCAAGGGACAAGAGTCAGAGACAGATGAGGGCTCTGCCTATGCAGGAAGAGCTAGGGGCAGAGATGGGGAAGGCCATGAAATCTCCAGACCCTCTCAAATGTCCCCTCTGACACACCTGCAGGAAAAGAGTGGGTAGCTAATGTGTGGTTGATGTGTGGCCTCCTCTGTTGGATTAGAGGAAGCAAATACATCTTATTTTGACTGTCAAGGATAGCTGTGGGGGTGGTTTAGAAAAAAAAATGAATTGTTGGAGGCAGATCCTAAATTGAAGTCCAGCCCTGCTCACTGACTGTGTGATTTGGCAAATCTTGAAATCTTTCTAAGCCTCAGTTTTCCCATCTGTAAAATGATGGTACTAATACTGACCTTAGGAATGCTTACATGAAATTATAATAGCAATCATAGCTAATATGTATTGAGCATTTACTACGTGCTTTATGTGCACACATTATCTCCGTTGGTCTTTACAACAATCCTATGAGGTTTAGGGAGGTAGAGGGACTTGCCTTATTAATGCAAGGAAAGCATTCAGATAGTGTCTGGTACAGAATAGATACTCAATTAATATTCATTTCCTTTCCCCCTCCTGGGGGATGTTAAGGAGGCTCCTTTTTGGAGAACTGAGAACTCTCTGCTGCATTTCCCCAGCAGGCAGTGACAGCCAATTGCTTAAGTCTCCTGAGCCATAGCAAGGGTTGCAAAATCACTGGTGGCGTATTTCTGATCCTGGGACTGTCAAAGGCAGAGCAGGCAGATTTGTTGGCACCTGCACGAGCCAGATTGCATAGAACCCAGAGACACTCATGTGACAACCGTGGGGACGTGTCCCAGGAACATCCCACCCAGATTTGCCTTCCTTGAAGAAAAGTAATGCAAAAGGCCATTTTTCACTTTTAAATAGCTTTCATTCTACGTCTTAATAAATGCACGTTTGTTGATTTGTGTAAGCATGATGTGGGAAGTCTGCAAATGGATGTAATCTGCACCGAGGGCACATGTAAGCACCAGCGAGCACTTTTGAATAATGAATCCCTCCCGTAAAAGACGGACGCTATTCATAATAATTCCTTGCTTTTCTCATTTTGCTGCGTACAGTAGCGATTAATCAATTTGCAATGTTATGTCACCCGCAACAAATTGCTAGCACCAAGACAAATTTATTGCTTTATGATAAAAGAACTTGTTTAGGTAGAAATAAATTAAATTTGGGGGCTTGTGATTTGGGTTTGATGTTCACATAGGTGACCCATAGAGAGTGGGCTGGGGAGGTGAGAGGTCCAGATGATTCCTGCCTTGACCTGGCACCCAAGAGAGGGATGCAAATGCAAGAGGGTGTTTGCTCAGTTACTGACCCAGAGACAGTGCAGCTCTGATGGGAGAGAGTAACACTGAGAGCTTGTGGTGGTTCTCGGGAACGTCTGCCGGGCTCTCCGCGTCAGTCAGTGTAATTTAGAGCTTTTAACAGAGAGGTATGGACAATCAGCAGTGCTCAAGGGAAGTAACTCTCTTCTCCTTCTAGGCTTCTCCTGAATCCTAATATCCCAATTTACCTCAAATTGACAGTGAAAGGAACCTACATGATAGGAACTGGGAATGAGGTTCAGAGGCTGGAGGATCAGAGAGGTCCTGATTCCTTTATTTATTGATGCTTCTTTAGTATTAAATATTGCAGAAAAATAGGCTGAATGGCATTACCAAAATTGTGGTGTAATAAATATTACATTTAGCCAATGAATGCTTTTAATGCAGAGACACAATTTAATTCTGTATAATTGTGCTATTATCGCCGACACTGTCAAATCTTCAATTTGAGGCCTTTCCTGGTTAAAAAAAAAAGCTGTGCTGAATGGGTAATGTGGTCCCGGCCATGGCAAGGGGGACTTGGGGACATGCATTCCCATTCCTCTATATCAGATTAGTAGCAAAGCAGCTCAGGAAAGCACTTTGCCTGAGGACCCAGAGTCAGGGGGTGTCGCAGGAGCATTGGGCTTCCAGGACGCCACACACGTTTGTCATTAATTTATACTCCATTAATTTGGGATCTGCAGTGGAATCAAGGGTGGATGCATTAATGCTGCCCTCTCCCAGTACACACACACACACACACACACACACACACACACACTCAGGACCAGGGCTTTTTCTTAAGCCATCTGATAGTCTAAATGATTTGTGAAAAGCAGGTTTCAATTAGGAACAACATCAGTTCCATTGCCCATGGAAATGGATTTCTCTGCCCCAGCTCATCGAAATCCATTCCTTTCTGCTCTTAAAGCAGGAGCTGGGATCACCTCCTGAATGCCTTGATACACCCTGTCCAACTGCCAGGGAGAGAGCCCCAGTGAAATTTTAGGGCCATGGTCTCTGTCATGTTTGTCTGGTTTCAGCCTCGAGGGAGTGGGGTGTGAAGGCCTGCTGCCTGCAGAGGCTTCTGCAGCCTTTCTGCAGGATCTGGGAAGTCTCTTGGTCACTCTAAAACCCAGTGTCCACATCCAGAGCCCGTGAACAACGCGGGGCAGAGCACTGAAGCCCTCTGGCAGCACCCTTTCCACTGCCTTGTGGCCAGGGGGTCCCACGGCAGCCTCAGAGGGTGCTGGACTCACCTGATGACGGCTTCTTTTACTGTCTTCCCTTCTGCCTCCTCGCTGGGCTCCAGCCGGCCCAAGTTCCCTCATACGCCTGTCCAGGCCTGCCCACTCCCTGGCCACCTCCTCAGCTGGTCCTGCAGAGGCTCCAACCCTGGTGGGGCTGCGTTTCCCCTGTTCGTACTGCCCTCCCCCTGGCTAATTCTGATTATTTCTCCTTCTCCTTGCTCTCTTGGGCGCCTTTATTCCTGACCGTGCATTTTCTCTGGACTCAGGATTAAAAAAACCCACGCTGCTAATATCCTTGTCAGCCTTTTCCTGAATCATTGCTGGGCAGCTCCAGGGAGCCACGGGCCAGTGCCTTCTGACCGGCAGACTCTGTCCCTGGGCCTTCCTGTCCTTGGGGTCCTGGAGCTCTCTGTCTGAGCCTCCTTGGCCGCTGAAGCAACACCCAGAGGCCTGCATCCTCTGAGAAATGCCCAGCCAGGGTTGCAGATGGAGCCAAGAATTGAAACTCTGGCTGAGTCTTTCCATCTCATAGGTGATTTCTCTCAAACGCCAGATAATGTTTAAATTTTGAAGTGCTTTTCTCCACGTGATCTCATTTGCTGTTATTGTCCCTGTTTTACAGATGAGCAAGCTGAACCTCAGAGGGCTTAGTGATTGGCTTGAGGCACAGCTACCAAGGATCAGTGACTGAGGTATGGGGGAAATAATCATCTCTATCTGACAGATGAGGAAACTGAGGCTCATGTTGCTGAAAGGGCTTGTCCCAAATCATACAGCAGTAAGAGGTGGTGATAGAAGTGGGTTTCAGGCACTGTATCCTCCAGGCCAGAGGTACAGAGTCAAGCTCTGTTGCCCGCACCAGCCCTGGTCACAGGGGCAGTGCTCAACTCTGCACAGGGGTTTGTTCTGCACTGTGCATAAAAAATCAGGTCAGTCCAGCAGGGAAACACCCACCAGGCAGTACTCAGGAGCCCCAAGTCCAGGAGTCAGAGGTGGCCAGGGGCTGTCCTGGTTACTCCCATCTCCTCCTGTGAACACAGGGCTTGGTGGGGAGCTTGTGTTTATATTTCAGGGGAAGAGGCTGGTTAACTCCTCAGCCCATCATGCTGCTTGGCTTATCTCAAACTGCTCTGGGGACGACAGACCAAATATGACTGGGTGGCAATAGGGGTTTCCACACATTCTGGTTCAAGTCTAGCACATGAGAGACTCAGGAGGAAGGTTCCATGTAGCAAATGCCCCTTCCTCCAGGCAGCCCTTCCTGACTCTTCAAGACAGAGCAGACCCTTCCTTCCCAGTCCCCCAGAACCTACTTCTGTGAATCATGACATTCCCACTGATGGGATCAACTGTTCCCCCATCATCCTTCACCTCAGCTGAGTCATGGGCATAAAGACCTCCATGGGGCCATAGATGCCGGTCCTGGGACCAGCCATGGTCACTCATACACATGCCCACCCACCCTCATCCTCACAGAGAGACACAAGCACAGAGAGACACTGTCCCACACATCACTCTCAGGTGCTGTGAGGGCACATACGTGCACATGTACCCACACACATGCACACGCCCCTGCAGACAAGCACAGACCCACTTAGAGACCAAGTCTGTCCGTGTCTATGCATATACAGGCATCTGCTTCCCTACACCTGGTATTCCGTGTGTCCTCCTTAGAACAGAGGCCACGGCTGATGGCATGGCCTATGGGGATTTGGGATTTGGCCTGCTCAGGTCTGAAACTTCTTGGGTGGCAAGCTGTAATGCTAGGAACTTCTTTCTGGACTAGTAGCTTATTCCAGCTGGGGCCTCTCTTTGCCCTCTCCTCCCAGACAGCCCAGCCGCAGCTATCGCTAGCTAGAATCTGCCTGCATGCACTCCCAATCAGATAAGCGCCCTTCCTTTAGGCCCCTGGGGTCCTGTCGCCACCAGCCTTGCCACCTCAGCACTTTCTCAATAACTCACAGAGGTCAGCTGTTGCTCACCTGGGGATTATTTTCCCCCTTCTCCTCTGATGCTCTGTTTTCCCTGAGAACAGATACCTGTCCCTGGGGCTCAGTGGGTCAACTGGCTAAAAGAGGAAGGAGAGGTCAGGGTCCCTGCTGACATCTGGCTTGTGCCTTGTCACAAAGGTACCATGAGTCCTCGGAGCAGGGCACAGTGATGGAGCACTGATCCTGGAGTCTGACCAGCTTGAGCTTAAACCCCAGCTCTGTCCCCTCTCAGCTGTGTCGCTTTGGACTGTCACTTGACCTATGCAAGCTTCGATTTCTGCTTCTGTAAAATGGGCATGGTCATTTGAGTCTTATAGGATTGCTGAGAGGCTTAGATGAGGTTAATCACAAGTAAAAAAGACTTAAATGACAGAGTGCTCAAAAAATGTAAGTGAATAAGAATGACTATTATGGCAATTGAAGTGTAATTGAATTGTTACAGCAATTGCCCTACCCCTATCTTCATGGCCTCTTAGGCCCTGTGAGACTCAGAGAAGGTCTGAGCAGTGATTCAAAGAAGGCACAGCCTCCAGCCTTTGGCAGAGGAGGCAAGTGAAAGGCTAGCAAGGGCCTGGGCCTCTCTTGCAAAGCAAGAGAGAGCTGGTACTAGAAACAGCTCCCTTTACTGACGTGGGCTGTCTCTAGGCTACCTGTCACCAGTCAGTTACTGCCTGTAAAGCCAAGGGGATCACTCTTTTTCTATGAAACCAGGAGGGAGAAAACTCATGGATAAGGAGCCTTACCTAGATAAAAGCTTCCTCTGCACTGGTCATTTTCACATATATTATCCCATTTATCTCAAAGCAATTCAGCAAGGAGGAATTATTACAATGAAGAAGGCTGAGGCTCAGAACAATAACATGGCCTGTAGGTGACAGGGCTGGAGCTTGAACCCTCAGTATCTGACTTCACATGATGGGTTGTTCCCCAGCGTCCTGGCCACCTTTAGAAAGTGAACAGCAGAAAAAGGGAACAGAATGGAGATGATGAAAGCAGCTTCCTTGTCCTCAGAGGCAAGATGCTGAACAAATCCATCCTGTAAGCAATACTTACAGCGAATGTTCTCCACAGAACAATTTAGACAAAGACCTAGTTTATGCAGCTGAATATGAAATATGGCTTGTGTCTTAAGACATTTGTATAAAAAGATGATTTCTTTACTGTCGCAGCCTCAAAACCACCTCTTCTGAGAGTACTGCTTTCTTACCCGAGGATGGCCCATCAGGGTGATCTGGAAGGCAGAAGACGGGAGTTTTTCCATGAACTCACTGTGGTGGGGGTGGTCCTTGGGTAAGTTTCATTCTCTCTGCACCCTAGTTTCCTGTTCTGTGAAAGGACATGATTTTCTGGGGTGATTTCTCTGGGTAACTTCTAATTTCCCCTAAACCGTGGCTATATTCTCCAATGCAGAACTCATATGAGATCAACAAAGTATGTTTTTCCAACATACTTATGAATTTCTTTACTAGAAAAACCTAATGAAGGCAGACCACTTAAATAGCATTTGGTTAATGCATTTGGAAAATCCAAGAATAAATTCACATCAGGTGTAGAGGCCTAAGTATAAATGGCTGCCCCCTGTCTGACTCTATGACCATCAGAAAAGAAGAACTTTTGGTTTATGAAGCCTGCGTCCTTGTCACTGATTTAAGTCTTGGCTCTCCTCCATTTAGAGAAGGCAGCAAGGTTCCTGGCCCAAGGTGAACTGTCCACCTTTGTCCCTGTCTGAGGTGACTGAAAACTTTTGCAGGATTCTTTCTTCTTCCAGAAGCAGAAGCACTGGGGGTGGGGAGGACATGGGCAGCAGATTTGGTCCCCTGGCTGTCCCATGGGGGCTGCTGCTAAGGAAGACACAGGCCTGGAAGTGAATTCTTATGGCACCTTCTTTGCTGGGGGGGCCAGGGGAAGGAAGGGCGTCAGCATCTGGCTACTGCTGCCAGCAAATCTGTGTGTTGACAGAGTTGCTCCCCATATGTGTCCTTTTAAACGCTGATCCCTGCTCGGGATTCGAGTTGACCGACTCCGTTTGCCAAATGCAAATGCATTAACCTTACAATTGGGTAATCTAATAAAAAGGATCAATGGTCTGATTCGGTGCTTATGGAGTCATTTACTGCAAGTGAGAGCAATTGAGCCAGGATGAGCAGCGTCGGGGAGCCCAGAGGATGGCTTCGGTCGGCGGTCCCCGCTGACTTCCCCAGGCGAGGCCCTCTCTGCCTGGAGGGGCTGGGCTGAGTGGTCAAGGGAATGAGGAGGGTGTTATTCATTCATTACTGCCACTTTAATCACTTAGAAGTTCAATTAAGTATAAATCATTAGTGGTATTTCAAGTTACTTTATCCAGGCCTGTGCGTAACACACTTGACTGGCGGTGGGGAGCTTTCTGTGACTAGATTTAGCGTGCGACTGAACAAGGCAGTCATATGGGTTTTTCTGCTATGAAATTGATAAATGAAGCGGGCATTCGAGGTACAGCAGTAATTTCTGTGGTGCAGTCAAGTGCTCGCTCCCTTGTCTCCTCTAGCAATGAGGGCATGGGCCCCTTTAATATGGCAGCTTTCCCCTGGGGGTCCAAAGGCCAGGCTGGGCTGCAGTCCTAGGGTTTATTTCCTTGCAGAAGTTCCCAGAGTGAGCCCTGGTTCATTAGTAGGAATATACCTGGGAAGAAAAAAAAAAAAAAGGAGAAGGGGAAGAAGAAGGTTCCCTTACCGTCATTCACCAGCACTGATGCTGTCACGATTTTTTTCCGAGTAGCAAGCGGATAGCGCTGGAAGGACAGAATCGGGCTATCTCGGCAGCTCGTTCCAACTTCCCAAGGATGCAGTTGTCCCCAGTGGCCGGCATCCCTGTCTGGAAAGCATATTTTCTCCTAATCGGTTTTACAGCTCTTTTAAAGTAATATGTCAGATCATTTTCCCCATATACATAGTTAATGAAAGTAACCCTACAAATTCATTTTAAATAGATGGAAGTTGTTATAACCCTGATCCAGAATTTATTACGTTCATTACAATCTTGCTGAAGTAGGTAATGTAATGGACTATTACTTTTATTATCTTTTTAATCCCTCAGAATTATTAGGAACTGACTAATATTTGGCATCACCCTGTTAATGTTTAAACAGAAATTGATACTTTAATTCGTCTAATAAATGATGGGGGCACTTTGAGTGGAAACAAAAGCCTGATGGGATTTATCTCGATCAGTCCCAAAGACTTTTAAGTGGGACTCAGGGGTCTGAATGCAATTATTTCCAGGCAGGGTATCTTCACCAAGTACTCAGAAAGGACAGAGGAACAGTGATGGCGATAGTGACAGAGAGACCCAGATGGACTCTCTTGTCAGACAGCAACAACAACAAGGCAGAAAAGAGAGAGGGAGAGAAATTCCACTCATACATTCACGTGTGAATTCTGATTCACAAAAAAATTAGAGTTCAAGCTCTGATTTGGCCTGATAACTCCAGCAATGAGCTCTATGTACCTTTTCCTTCTTGCCCTTCATCTTCTCTTCCCCTCCTCCCCAGATTAAGACGAAGTTTTTTCTTTATAACCATCCCTGTGTTAGTAATCAGCTTTATGGCTAAGAATTTTCAAGTGCTCTAGAATTCGTGCGTTGCCGAGACAAATGATTGGGCCACATTCTCCTAGTGAGGAGTGGAGACCCTGTTTGCTCCTTAAAAAATAATGATGGCTGCTCAATTTGCAAATTACCAAATCTCACTGTGCAATGGGAGAGGGTGGGAGGAGGCATACTGTTGTGTCTATTCCGAAGAGGCTGTGTTTACCCTCTAGAACTCCGTTTCCTGCCGGGCGGGTGACAGGTAGGATTTAGGAGAAATTGATCTCTTGCACTTTCTAGATTTTACAAGGCAAAATGCAATGCTGGTTACTAAAAGAAAATTATTTTTTAAATAATAAAAATGTATTAGTTCTAACAGGAGGAGAGGAATAAAGTACGTCCCTTTCTGGTTTGATAATAAAAGACATTCGGGAAAGGAAAAGCTGTCATCTTGAAAGGCAAGAGTGTGTTTTCTAACAAAGAAAGCTTCCAGTTAGCAAAGTCATTAATTAGCACAGAGAAGCTCATTAGAATTTAAAGCTGCTTTACTGTGTAGTGTGGCTTTGCTCTCTCTAAATGCTCTGGGTTTCCAAAGCAAGAAAAGTATTGATTAAATTGACTTAGCATGAAATGTGCCCCATTTGTGCCGACCCATAAAGAGGTGGGCTTCTCGGCTTTCTTAGCAGAAGACTCTGCCAGGTGTCCTGTGAGCTGGGCCCAGGCGGGTGGGCTGGGGACAGCATCCTGTCTGCCTGTAGCCTACTTACTTCAAGGGACCGACTGACTGCCCATCATTCGGCAAAAACCCGTTTTGATCAATGGAGGGGAAACCTGCCCTTAGCTAAGTTTATTCCCGATGCCTTACAAATCTGATTTTGTAAATGCTGATTGCGTTCGTCAACGCTGAGTTGACAAGGGCTACACGTCATTTGGGGCTTGATAAAGAGACTAAGAGGCAGCTTCTCAGCATGTTTATTTTTAATAGACATAAAAAATGAAAACAAAAACAGGCTTTCTCACTCCTTGGAACCCTCGTTGACAGAAAAGTACTGAGTACACAGAAGTGGCGACAGGCAAATGGAGATCCTGGAAGAGAAGGTTTTCTACCAAAATATCCTTGTGAACATGAGACACGCTTCAAACTGAAAGAGTGGGCTCGAGAAAGCTCTACACTTCCGTCCCTGACACGAAGTGCCTTCGCGGTGTTGGCATCAAATATGTCGGAGCCGTGGCAACGTCTTCGTTGCATCCCCGCTTGGTGTCATTTTGTGAGTAGGACAAACCCCATCATTCTTACCTCATCTATTAGAAATGCAGCATTGTGAATGGAAGCAATGTTTCTGGGGCGCATCACTGAAATGAAAACTTCATTTTCTATATCTTTACTAAGAGACTAACTCTTCCCTTCAGCTTCACTGATGTGGATGGCCCTAAAATACTCTCAGGGAGACTATCAAGAGAGAAAGAATGTAGCTTTAAAAGCCAATAGAAAATATTCACAACATATGTAGCAAAGGCTAATGTTCCTTCCTATAGAAAGAACTCTTTCGGATGGATAGAGAAGATACTAAGATCTCAAAAGATAAATGAGAAAAGTATATGAAAAAGAATTTGCAAAAGAATTCAAGTGCTAATATTTAGTGAACACTTACTATATGCCAGGTATAATTTACATGAGATTTCTCGTTTATCTTACAAAGACCCTATGATTTAGGTGTTATTATTCTCATCCCTATTAAAAGATGAGGAAAAAAAATAAAGCTTGAGAAGTAAATAATCATCCCAAGATCACACATATTGTAAGTGAGGGGCCAGGATTCAAAATCACGCAGCTTAATCTAGCAGGCACGGCTCCTAACTGCCTTGCTGTAACCTCACAAATTCACAGATACAATTGTAAATAAAGTTTTTTTTTTTTTAAAGTTCACATTTACTAGTAAACAAAATATGTTAATTGAAAAATATCAGAAAATTTCATTATCAAAATAACAATAAAATGTTAATATTCGGCTGGGCGTGGTGGCTCATGCCTGAATCCCAGTGCTTTAGAGGCAAGGCAGGCGGATCACTTGAGGCCAGGATTCAAGACCAGCCTGGCCAACACGATGAAACCCATCTCTACTGAAAATACAAAAGTTAGCCGGTGTCGGTGCCGCCATGTAATCCCAGCTACTAGGGTGGCTGAGGCATGAGAATCGCTTGAACCCAGGAAGCGGAGGTTGCAGTGAGGTGAGATTCAGGAGTTCGAGACCTGCCTGGGTAATATAGCGAGACCCCGTTCTCCACGAAAAGGAAAAAAAAAAAAAAAAAAAAAAAGGTTGAAATAGATATTCTTAAATATGAATTACAATTTGACAATATCTCTCAAGTCTTAAATCATTTGACACAGTAATACTATTATAAATAATTTATCTCAAGGAAATAGAAATGTAAGCAAAGGTTTAGGCACACAAGTTTGTGCCTGCAGACATTAAATGCTCCCACATTAAGGGAGTGGTTAAGGACCTTATGGTCCAGCCATTCAACAATACTGGTAACAATAAAAATGATGTTTAAGAGTTTCCAGTAACATGGGAAATGCTTATGCCGGGAGATAAAAGCAAGATATAAAATTCCACGTATAACATAAACTGTGTAAAATATGGTTAGAAATAAGAATGGGAGAAAAGGAGCAAAAAAGTGTAAACCAGGAGGTGTTCTCTGTGCAATGGGATTATATGTGACCATGTCTTTTTGTTATAAATATTTTCCAAATTTTCCACGGTAAACAGTTTTATTTATCACTGGTGTGGGGCAGGGGGAGAAGAAATCCTTTATGACATTTAGAAGTTGACTTCTTAACTTGAATCTCAGACCTAATGGGAATGAACCATGGGATCCCAAAGTACCAAATTATTTGTTCTCTGAATCAGCCCAGGACGTATTTGTTCTCTGAATCAGCCCAGGACGCCCAAGGACAGCCCTATGTGTTCTTCAACTCTCTAAGCCTTCCCCTCATCTGTAATGTGTCTACTCCTGGGGTTACTGTGAGATTCGAATGTGGGTAAAGGCCTTAGAACAGTCCCAAAGTGTAGGCATTCAAAAGATATAAATGGTAATAATAAAGTAATACACTAATTACGGTCACTGCAGCTGTTGTTTTGTTAGTAGGAAGGAAGAGTTGAGCATCTCGCAGGCACCAGGAAGTGTATACAGACTGGCTTGTCCTGAGAGTGCTAAAAGCATCTTTTACTGACACAGTTCCAGTCCTAGATGAGCTCTTGGTGCCACCCAAGTCTTCTGTCTGCTGCTGCAGAGGCAAAGGGATGCTCTTCAGATTCGGATGTGCGCGGACTTTTAGGTAGACCCTCCTTCAGCCTGCCACATCCTGGGCGCTTTCTTGGGGCCAGGAACTGTGTTGAACCTTTTCACATATGGATTTTCCCACCTATAACTTTGAGAAGCAGGTTTCATTAGCATTTCTGCTTTATGGCTCAGAGACTACTAGACATCAGTCTCATGGGTCACAAAGCCAGAAAGTGGCAATGCTGGAATCAGAACCTATGTTGATCTGAATTCAGAGATGTCAGAGATGAAGAGCAATAATGGCTGAGAACACAGGTTCTAGAATCAGAAAGACCTGGGGTTGAGAATATCTGTGTGACTTTGAGCAAGTAATAAAAGTGCCTCAGTTTGCTCATCTATAAGATGGGACTTAGAGAGCTCATATGTTGCACCATTATTTAATGAAACACTAAAAAAAAGTCAAATCATTGCTAATGAAACCATGACATAATACTTTCCTATCACTTAAAATTTTATTTTTATATTTATGAAAAGAACTTTCAGGTTGATTTAAACACAGATGTTTGTCACAAGACCTTTGTATGCATACATGAAAAGGAAAATATAATTGGAATAATTTGTTTAAGACATTCCTAAAACTTCCTCATATTCAGAGGAACTCAGCATTTTAGGAACTCAGCATTGTCAGTGTTCGTGTTTTTCAACAGACTATCATCTGCTGTCACATTGCAGGTGTTTGTGAGAGCATTTCTTTAAAAACCACTCCTCTATTGTCCTCAGGATTTTAAGCTGCAAATACTTGTTCCGCAAGTTTTGATGTGTGTTCCCAGATATGACAGTGACATCAAGACTGCTGCCAGGCGGATAGTGATTTTAAAAAGCATCTCAATTTCAGATGTGTTAAAATGGGAAAAAGAAATTGTATGTCTTAGAATTGATGAAATATAGTAGCTACCATATAGCGTTCTTAGGAGAATTAAATGAGGTCATGCTGGTAAAGAACTTAGACATTAGACTGGACACAGAGTAAATGTTCAACATCATCATCATCATCATCATGATCTTTATTATACTATTATTATATTCTGTTCTCTGAGATGTATTGGATATATATGCAGCTCTGTAGGCTCTGTCTCAGAATTCTGAGCCAACATGCAGTGCCAAGACATTGGACCCTGAACCACTGGGGTCCTTGCAATGGCTGGTGATGGATGAGACACTGGACCCTGGGGTAGAGCCTGCTCCCTCTCCTTTTCTGTCTCCCTCTCTGCCTGCTTTGTGAACCTTCTCTCTCTCCCCCTGCCTCTCCCTCCTTTACTTATCTCTCTCCTCCTTCTTCTTATCTCTGCCTCCCTTTCCACCCCCTCCCCAGCTCTTCTGCAAATAAATGGCCCTGTCACTCTGGCTTTCTTGTAGGTTTAGAGTGAATGGAAGTGTCTTTTTGAAAAGCTTGTTCCGTCTGACATTCCTTACCAGCTCAGGAGCAGGGTCCTTTGCACTCCCCTCTCTTCTGCTCAGAGATCTACTCATTTAGTTAACAATTTACAGGGCTGCCACTAGGCCTTGAGAACTCCACCCCACGGCAGAGGGAGCTGGGCTGTGCCCTCTGGAGGAGGCCTATTGGCAGGCTTGGAGGGATGCTTCCGTCCTGCCTCTAGTGGTTGTAGGCGAACTGGCGTAGGACCTGCCTAAAAAGAAACCATTTATTCCCATTTATGATTCTTTAAAAAAGAAGTTCACAGCTTTTATGATGAGCCTTATATATGCATTTAATGACATTAAAGTATTTGATTATGTGCATTAAGAAGAGGTCTGAGAGCTCTCTGGTGTCCTTAGTTTTAAGTGTATTTTAACTGCCTACAATGAAAGGAACAAGACAAAAAACGAGCTGTGGCAGCATCCTCATAAATTCTGAGCCATAATCGACATACCTTTGCTGGCACCAGGAATGGTCCAGGAAGGTAGACAGCGAAGAGGAACCACAGAATTTCCACTTTCTCATTGGCCTGAGTACCAGAGGGAGAGCAAGATCAGTCATCCCTGCAATACTTTCTCTTCAACCAGCATCTTAGCCAGGGATGAGCAGGGGCTGGGACTGACATGAACTGAAGATCCTACTTTGTGCCCAGGCTGTGCCAGGTCCTTTACGACTATTTCTGTGTTGTTTCATCTCCAGAGGCAGGTATCATTAGCCCCATTTTCCAGATAAGGAAGCTGAGCCTCTGCAAAGTAAAATGACTTGCTCCAAGTTGGCAAATGTCAGAGCTATTATCTAAAAACAAGTCTTTCTGATCCTGGGGCTTCAGTCCTTTGCACAGGCACTGGGTATGAAGCTCCAAGTGACACCCATTTGGGGAATAGTTAATAGAGAAGGAGAAGGGAATAGGTGCTGAGGCCAGGGAAGCATAGGCCTTTACAGAAAAGCTTCTTCCTCCAGTTCTCTAGGCCCCAGCCCCTTGGAGGTGTGCATTGCAGTGGAAACGAAATCAGGACAGAAACAGCCACTTGAAATGAACTGCGCCCAGACAGGCCGCCATGGTGGCGTGATTGATACTGGAGCATGTAGGTGTAATGAAACTGATGCCGGCTTCTCTGCACCTGTGATTTATTGAGGACAAATTTAAGATGAGAAAGGGCCCCATACCAGGAGCTGCGTCTTCCCCTCCAAGGGAGGGTGGTCATCCATCACCAGCCATTGCAAGGGCCCCTTGCAAGCGGCTCATCAGATGAGCCAATAGTCTCTTTGTTGGGGTTCCTAACAAGTGTTGGATCAGCAAAAGTCTATTTATGCTGGTGGACCTTTCAGGACCAATTTGTAGTGGGTCACTGATTCTGCTGGGGTAT